CACATATACCTTTCACTTAGATTCACCAATATGGCCACATTTGCTTTATCTCTAAGAATATGTTCTTCTTTTCTTGGCCTACACTGTTTAAAAATAAATTGCAACATGACCCTTCAGCACTGCTGCCAGTCCGACTCCCTCGGGAAAAAGGGATGACTAGTATCAGGGCACTGGGAGGCAATGGAGGACGGAAAGCTGAGCTCTGCTCTGCAGCAGTTCCAACAGAGGGCTTAGTCCATCTACAGGGCCCCAGACTGGTCCTGCAGAGGCCAAGGCCAGACCTTTTAACCTGTCATTGGCTATTGGCTACTGGCTACCCCTGGCGGTGGTTGCTCTTGGGCCAGAAGACTCCCTTCATCTCACTGCAGTCCTGAGACAGAGTTCTCAGCTGCCCACACTTCAGCAGCTGGGGAGGGAGGGCTTCATTCCTGAGGGGGACTGGGTGGCGCCCCCAGAACATATCCCTGCAGCAGTCTCAGAAAAGCGCATACATGTGCTCACCCTCCTGCTTGCCTGTGTAGGCCTTCTCCGGCTCCGGGAATAGACTGGACGGGAAGAAGAAAGGTGTAGAGCCCAGTCCCTCCCCAATCAAGCCTGGAGACATCAAAAGGTGGGACTGCCCTGTCTCTGCTCCAGCCTGGTGCTTCATCATCATCTAGGGAGGGTCTGTGCCAGACCTCTGGGGTGGGCAGCCTCACTCCAGTTCTGGAAATAAAGCCTGACTCAAAGAATCTAGCAGAGTGGATGAAATCCCCTCCCCCACCCCCACCAGCTCTCCTTGGGCGACTGGAACATGACGAGGAGTTGCTGTTTCTCAGTGGAAGTGTATCATATCTTCCCTCCAGTCCAGGACCACTGCAGTCCAGCCTCCACCCTCCTCCAATGGCCCCTCATCAGATCTCTCTTACTTAAAACCTTTCTAGTTCCTATCTAATCTGTGTTTTCATCAAGTCACAGTATCTCAGCTTCCTTCAAATAGGAGGCAGGAGCTGCCTCACAGATGTGTTTGTGTTTGGTCCAGGGACTCAGAGCAGATTCCCTGCTCTGGTGGCAGGGATGAGATGTGTCACCTGCCATATGTCACCTTTCTACTATATGTTGGAGCAGAAGAACAATGCTATAATGGATTTTTTACCCACTCTCTGAATTTGGTACAAGTGTACCCCTTTAAGGTTGATCTGTGAGGCTGGAGGATGGATTTGATGAGGGCCTCCGAATCCCCTAGGTGACCCTTCACTGCAGGCTAGGTCCCAAGTCTGAAGGCCCCTGCCCATTTGCCTTCTGATTCTCTCCTGTAGGGATGCTGGGGAGCACCAGAGGGCTGGCCCAAGGCCAGGGTGGTTGACAGCCGCATACCTCAGAATGAGAATCACCAAGAGGACACACTTCCTCCCTTTGGCTTGCCTTCCTCTTGTTTGTCAAAAGAGAATTTGAGTCTTTTTCTTCTGGAGCTAACATTTCTCCTCTTCCATCTTTACAGAGGAATTCCCAATTATGAATTTAAACTTGGTAAGATCACTTTCATCAGAAATTCACGTCCACTGATCAAAAAGGTTGAAGAGGTGAGTTTTATTTTTTAGTGATGAGTGGGGGAATTCTTTCCATTTTGAATCAGGATATTTCTGTCATATTTTTCTTCATTCCTGGGGCCCTCCTCCCTCTGGTGGCCTGGTTGGCCTATTGAGGCTGTATGGAATGTGTGGGGCTGGATGTAGAGGTGTGTGTTCAGGAGCTCAGAACCTTCATCTTCTATAGCTAACACCACTGGCTGACTAACAAAAGGAATGCATGAAAGATACCTGTTTTTGAGGGTTCAGAAAAAACAAGCCCTCTTTCTGCTGGTGGGAGACTAGCTTACTAAGGAATTCCACTTCTAAGAAATATCAGGCTGTGTGCAAACATATTAAGCTGATCACCACAGCAATTTAAAATACTGCAAACCTAGAAGTAATATCCAGTGGTAGAGACTGCCTCTCCCACGTGATGGAATTCTCTGTAGGTTTTAGAATGTACTAGATAAGAAATCCATTGTCTTGAGACTTGGGAATTACGTTTGAAATAGTTTATATAAGCACATACAGAAAAGTGACTAAAAGTGTTATTTTGGGGTGGTGGAGTTCCAGGTGACTTTTCTTTTGGGGTGTATTTTATACTTATATATAGAAAATGTGATGCTTCTGCAAAAGGATATACGTTCACCCTTAGAATAAAGGCAGTGGTAGACACATAGTTGTGATTGTGTGGTCATGTGTTCAATTCAGTTGATTATGATTTGTACTTATATTTCAAAAACATTTCTTATTATCAATAATGGGGCGTAAGGAAAATGGATGGATGGTACATGAGTCAGCAGAATAAAGCATTTTCTATAAACCTCCAAGAAATTTCTGAAAATAGTATTTTATCTTCACACAGGATGAAGCTGGAGGCAGATTCGTCGCTTTCTCTGGAGAAGGACAGTCATTGCGTAAAAAGGGAAGAAAGCCATAAGTTAGCCGATTGGGAAATAAAATACTCAATTGCAACATAATGGCTTTTAGTTACTGGCTCTGACAGGAATGAAACTATTGCAAAGGATGCTCTGTCACTTTAGGTTTGTTTAGAGCTACCTGAGAATTATCTGGTTTAGTCTGGAAGTGGGATGCAGGACTTCGTGTTATGTACTTGAATTGGGTCCCATAGGCAGCCGCCTCACCACTTCTTGCTTTCAGCCCTTGGGAGCACTCCCACTGACCCAGCAGGAGCTGAGTTCCCCAGTTCCTGATAAAAATCAAAGGAAGGGGTTGAATTGCTCTAACTTGTGATGTTCTTTTTATTTTATTTATCCTTTCTTTTTGTGGATCTGTAGCTTAGATGTTGCCTTTGGCCTAAAGAAAAGTGGTTTAAATAGATTTGTGCTCTATAAATAGTTATTCCATTACTCTGGCTACAATTAAGTATTTGAGGATGGGTTTTTCTGTTTTTATTTTACTTTTTTTTTCTTTTTTTAACAAAAGAACCATTCCTCAGAAGGAAAACCTGATCTGAAAACATTTATACTTTCAGTTTTCATTTCAAAATAACTGGCTCCATGAATCTATTCTATTAGGGGGAGGAAGAGAACAACAAAACTTCATGGTGAAACACAAATGTGAATATTAGAATAAATAAACGCTAAAGATGGTCCTCTTTCTCCTTCCCTATCTCCCACTCGCAGTTTAATGTATTATCCAATGTTCTGCTGGCCTGCATATTTTGTATTGGTCTCAGATCCTCAATTTCTATAAAGTGAGATCTTCTGACATGTTAACCCAATTATTCTCATCTCTTTTGTTCCTTGAGAGTAATTCCAAATTAAATTTTCAAATAAAAACAGGGAAAGACTAAAACCTGGATTGCCTCTAAATGTTTGATTAGATGTCAACAGGGATTGATGCTTGGGCCACTGATCAGGAGTTGGAGGAAGGCTTGCTTGCAGGTACCCCTCATTCCATAGTGCTGTTAGAAAAGAACTTGGGGACAGGGGAGTGGCTCCTGGACAATATATAGAGAAACGAGGCTCTCTGACCCCTGGGGTGAGGGTGGTCAGGCCCAGATCTCCCCTTGTACCAGGTCTCCTCCTGCTTGTAGGCAAAGGGTCCTCTGAACAAGGCTCCTCCCAACACGCAGAAGAGGAAAGGTTGCACCACACCAGGACAACAGCCCAGGGTCCACCCATGTATCCTCAGAGAATGAGCACTGAAGATTGTCATGATGACCAGGGCTGTTCATCCATCATGGTGATGGATGTGGTTTCAAAAGGCACAAAGTACCACTGTGATCTCCCTGGCTCCACTGAAGGCAGGGGTGGGGAACCTTTTCCCTGCCAAGGGCCATTGGCTATAACATTTGTGGGCCATACAAAATTACCAACTTAAAAATTAGCCTGCTCTATTTGGTCAAACATTTAATTAACTCACCCCTAAGGCCTTGGCAGGGCCAGACCAAATGATTTTGTGGGTCTTATATGGCCCGTGGGCCAGATGTTCCCCACCCCTGACCTAAGGAGTCTCAGTTTCACTACAGAGGTAGAAGCCCTTGGTGGGTAGGCAACCTTCATTGGCAAGATTAGATTGCCTGACATTGTCATTTTATGCATAATAAAGACGCTGGCCCTGGGTTTTTGTCTTCCCTAGGTATCACCTACTATACATGTAATGAAATCGCTGGAGGCACACTCCCCTGCCTGGGCCAAGGTTGGACCCAATTGTGGGGCTCCTGGTGATACAGTGGGATCACCTGGAGCAAAAGTCCTGGTTATTACTGCTGTACCCTGGTCAGCAACCTTATTGTCACACAGTGTCTTCTCCAAGCTGGGTCTGTGAGCCAATCTGGCAGGACTCCTGATAAAATTGCAGCTTTCTGAACCACCTGCAGGGCCTCTGACCCAGTCTCAATCATAGAAGGGGCTCCCCTGCATATGATCAGGTTTGCATAGGCTGGGGAACCATTGCGTTGGTACTGCAGGGCTTTCTGTCTCAGGAAAGCTTTCACTCTTAATCAGATATGCAAGCGGCCCTGGACTTGTACGCCAGGCCACTCGCAGCCTCCATGCCTCGGACCACCCCGCCTCTGCTCAGAATGCCCTTCTCGCCTCCACCTCCAGCCTGAGTTCCCTCGGGAGGTTGTCCCGCACCATAGATACCCTACCCCTCCACACCAACCCCCGTTATTTTGTGAGTTCATCTCCGTCCTCGAGAGGTCACTGCAGCAGTAGACTCGGCAGCTTCGCGGTGGTTGCTGCACAGTGTGTGCTAACGACAGTAAGCCCGATCTTTGAGATTTGTGAAATAGCCGCTGAAAAGAACTGGCCTGACTGCAGACCCGGCCGCCCACGCAACACCGGGCGGAGCTTTCTTACCCGCCGGGCACGCCCCCAGCCCTCTGGGCTCCACCCCTCCCGCCTGCGCCCCGCCCCTCACGGTTGCTATTGGCTGCCGCACCCGAACGTCCTGTTTATGGGCGTGTCCCAAGGAGGTGGCGAGGATTTAAATCGTCAGATCTCTGAGTTCCTCGGTGTCTCGCGCGGAGCTGGCCTAGTCGGTCTTCATTGGTCATTGGCTAGCGGGCTGAGGAAGGCGGGTTAGGTGCTCGCCGTAACATGGCCGACGGCGGCGGCTGGCAGGTAAGTGCGGTGGGCGCCAGGGACCTGGGGGGACCTCGTCGGACCGTGTGACCGCCTTAAGCGAGGTCTCTCCCGGGAGGATCCGGGTTGGAGCTCCGGAGCGGGCGGCGCTGCGGCGTCCGGCTCAGGCGCCCCTCTCGCCGCAGCCGCCGCGCCCCTGCGAAGCCTACCGCGCCGAGTGGAAGCTCTGCCGCAGCGCCGGGCACTTCCTGCACCACTACTACGTCCACGGAGAGCGGCCGGCGTGCGAGCAATGGCGACGCGACCTGGACAGCTGTCTCGAGTGGGAGGAGCGCCGGAGCGCGGAGGCTCAGGTGCGTCCGGGAAGCCGGGGTGGGTAGGGGGGGGGCGCTGAGCCACCTGGGCGCCTTAGTGCCCAGGCCACCCTTGCCCCCGCTCCAGGTCCCGGGATTTGGGAGAGCACTGCTGAGGGCCTTCCTCTTTCTGTGCTTTTTTTTCTTTCGAGAAATACTAAAAATTAGTTTATCAACTGGGTTTTCAGACTCTGGAAGACAAAGAGGGGAGTGGAGAGTGGTTTGAGAAGACAGTGTCAGGGTTGTCAGCTGACCTGCAAAGGAGGTGATATTGCTGAGTCCTGAAAGACCAGGAACCAGCCTTAGCAGCCTTTACCCAGTCCCAGGGGCTTACTTACATGAGGAACAAGGTTCAGAAGGAGGGTGAGCTGCGAGGGGTTGGGTATGAGGCTGTAGGGGTACCAGGGATCTCTTGGACCTTTAAAAGGAGCTTAGATTGTAGTCTAAACATGCGCTAGGAAACATGATTTGTTTTATTTTTTTATATATTTAAATTCAACTTTTTTATGTTTTTATTTTATTTTTATTGTTTTCAGAAATGACAGGAGAGGGAGAGAGAGTTAAGAACATCAATGATGACAGAAAATCATTGAACAAGCTACCTCCTGCACACCCCTGACTGGGAATGGAGCCCACAACCTGGACATGTGCCCTTGACCGGAATTAAACCTGGGACCCTTCAGTCCGCAATCCGAGGCTCTCTCCACTGAGCCAAACCAGCTAGGGAAGCATGACTTATTTTATACCTTTAAAAGATCAGTGTGGCTGCCAAAGTGGGAGAGTACATTAGGGAGAGGCACAGAGACCAGTAAGGAGGTGGTTCTAGTTGTCCATCCATCCAGCAGATACTTGTCATGTTGGGCACTCTTAGGGTACAGGAATGATGAGAACAGAACACCTGCCCTTTAGCACCTTCAGTCTAGTCTAGGCTACAGTGGTGCCTTGGAGCTGTTGTGGGTGGGGAGATGGAGAGAAGCTGTGAGGGTGCAGTGCTCATGGGGAAGGGGAGCCCGCGGGACTGACTGGTGGCTGCTTCAACGTTGTTAAATGTATGTTATTATTGAAGCAGACAAACTGATGTGGATACAAAGCTACCATATAAAAGGAAATCTGACAATTCCATACCTAGTAGTGAAGTCCAAAAAATGAAAAAGATAACTTACAGCCTATATGACAAGAGACTAGTAACCTTTATATATGTCTGAGCGCTTACATCAGTAAAAAAAATTGGGATGATTTCAGAATAGAAAAGTAGACCAAGGACACAAAGAAGGAATTCTTTAAAAAGGAAAACCAATGGCCTGGTATAGAAGTTAAAATGATAACAGGTGGTTTCTGCCTAGCAGTATGTCAGGAGTGTTGATAGGGGTTTGGAGAGTCGGGGGTCCTTGTGCATTGTTGGTGGAGTGTAAGGTGTTCTGATTGTCTAAATGTCAAATGCATACCCTTTGACCCGGTTTACTTCTGGAAGTTTATCCTAGGGCCGTGGTCGGCAAACTGCGGCTCTCGAGCCACATGCGGCTCTTTGGCCCCTTGAGTGTGGCTCTTCCTAAGCCTTAGGAGTACCCTAATTAAGTTAATAACAATGTACCTACCTATATAGTTTAAGTTTAAAAAATTTGGCTCTCAAAAGAAATTTCAATCATTGTACTGTTGATATTTGGCTCTGTTGACTAATGAGTTTGCCCACCACTGTCCTAGGGGAATAATTGGGTAACAGAGCATAGTTTAAAAATTAAAAATGTCCATTTTGTCACTGTGATAGTGCAAAAACTGAGTGTCCTAAATTCCACTAATAGACATTTGACCAAATAACTTCTTCCACACCGTGGAGTATTACATAGCCATTAAAAAGAATAGATAACATATTCTGGTTAAAAACAATAGATAGCAACATATCCTGGCATGGAAAGATGCCTCAGTGAAAAAAGCGGGAAGTATACACTAGCCACTAGAAGATTCCATCTTTAGGGAAACCTGTGATGACTCAAAAATTTAGACCTAGCCCTAACTGGTTTGGCTCAGTGGATAGAGCGTTGGTCTGTGGACTGAAGGGTCTCAGGATAGATTCCGATCAAGGGCATGTACCTGGGTTGTGGGCACATCCCCAGTAGGGGGTGTGCAGGAGGCAGCTGATCCATGTCTCTCTCTCATCGATGTTTCTAACTCTCTATCCCTCTCCCTTCCTCTCTGTAAAAAATCAATAAAATACATTTTAAAAAAATTTAGGCCTAAAATTGTGTTGGGGAAGCTGTTCACTTCACCTCAGGGATGGAGGTCTGGGAGTCTTTATATTCTACTTTGAATTTCTTATCACTTTTTAACAAGAACAGAAACATCTATTTGAGACAATAGAGCCTAAGAAGAAGACTGAGAAGGTGAAGTTAATGTGTGTAGAGGCCAGCATAGCCACCTGCCAAGGAGCCCCCTGACAGCTGTGATGTGCTGCCCTGTGTTCACTTGAGGAGAGTGGCATCTGAGGTCTGGACTCCTACTCCCTCCCCATCCAGGGCTCCCAGAACAAGCATCTCTTGCCTGATCTTCCTCCCTCTGGCCACTCTTTCCGACTTATGTCTTCTTCCAGCCAGCGTTAGGAAGTAAATCTGATCAGGGCAACCAAGGGCATAAGCTCTGAGGCCAGGAAGATATTTTTTAAGTTTCCTCAGATTATGGCGATCTACACAGTAGTTGACGCTTAAACAAAATAGACTTGAACTGTGTGCCTCCACTTCCTGTGGATTTTTAAGTGGACCTGTGACCTTCAAAGGTCAGCTGTACTTTCCACCCATAGTTGGGAATCCATTTGTGCAGAGGGCAACTTAAGTTACACAGATTTTCAATTGTGTGGTGGGTTGGCATCTGTAAACCCATATTCGCGGATCAATTGTCATTTTTCACAACAGCTTGGGAGAAAGTATGATCTAGATATGTGTGTGCTAATATGGGACCATCACCAAGGTGTATTAGATGGAAGTAGAGTTTCAGAGTAGTATGTACCATACGCTGTTGGTCCATCTGTGTTTGGGAGCCTGCTGAGGAGGAGGGAGGTACAAGGGCTATGTGAGGTGTGAAGTGACCGGGGTCTCCCTTGCGCAGCGATCCCTCTGTGAGAGCGAGCGTGGGAGAGTCCAGGCTGCAAGAAAGCGCAGCCTGGTGTGGACCCCGAGGCAGAGCCCGCTGCAGACTGGCTTCTCCCTCTGGAGGACAAAGACGAGTGACAAGCACCCCTACACGGCTTCCTGCAGTCTGTTTGAAGCGAAGCTATTGCACGGCCCTAAGGACTCCGCTTGGCCCAAGTATTCCAGTAGGTACCTGGGAGCTTCTGCCTGGCTTGGAACACGGAGCCCCACACCTCCAGCGCCACTTGCTCAGCCCTCACCTGCGTTCAGAGTGCCCCACTGCTGCCATGCTCTGGGAGACAGTTTTGTCCACTGCACAGCTTCCGGGAAGCCAAGCACCATTGCATATTGCTGTGAACAGCCAGGTTGGGCTGTCTCATGCTCTCCTACCAAGGACATTAGCAGGAGATGGCCATCCTCAGGTCTAGAATTCTCAGGTAAACTTTTGAGTAGTAGCCCTGACCCATGTGGACATGTAGAGTTAACTAAAGGGTTGTGTGGTCACGAACACCTCGTGGGGTCATTTTGTGCCACCCTGGTTGGGTGATGACCATGCATTGCCAGCCACTGGTGCTCACACTTGGCTATGGCCCACTCGCTCAGTTCCTCTGCACACACAGATGGGGCATACCTCTGGACCAGCAAGCTGCACCTTCTAGGCTCACAGGAGGTGAGATTCCCGTTTTTCAGAAATTCACACAGCTACAGAATATACCACCTTGCATAAAAAGGGTTCATGGACTCTTGGCTGAAGAAACCCAAACCCAGGACGCATGGAATTTTGGTCTGCTCTCCTCAAAATTTTTAGAAAATGTGGAATATGTCAAAAGCCATTTTACACATTAGATTCCAAATAGGAGCTGAAAATTAATTCAACAGTTGAGTTGTTGAGATTGTCAGAGTTGTTGAGATTGTTAAATTTCATCTGACGTACTCTGACTGTGTTGAAATGAGGTCGTAATCCAACATGACCTTGTGAGGACATAGCCAATAGGTGGCCATCTACAGGCCAAGGAGAGAAAAACCGACCCTGCTGGTAACTCAGTCTTAGGAGTTCCAGCTTCCGGAACTGTGAGAAGTGTGTTTCAGCCACGCAGTCTAAATGGCACTTAGACCCCACAAGGTGTTCATGACCACACAACCATTTAGTGGCATTTAGTTCTGGCAGCCCCAGCACACGAATACAATCACCATCCCAGTGTAACAGCAATTCAAACGAGTGCTCAGCCCCACTTGTCCCACCCTCCTGTGGGACACAGCAGTTTTGTTAATTAGTGTGTCTCTGGCTTGCTGCACGCTCTTTAGCCTCCCTCCCCATCTTAAAATGCTAAGCTGGTCCTGCTGGTGATGTGAGGAAGTTCATGTGCTCTGTCTGTCCCACCTGTGCAGACAACACAGCGCATACAGCCTGAACATCCTTCACCTTTGTTTCTTGCCTCCTGCTGGGGGGGAGATGGTCTCAATCATCCTTTCCCCAGTGCCTGGCATGGGGGGCGATGGGGACATTTGTAATTGTGTAAACAATCAAAATAAAGTGAAAATAAAATTTTTTAAAGGAAGAGCAGCATATCTCACCTCTGTCCATCCTTAGGTGAATTATTTTTGACTCTTACGTAAGACAGAGACACTTGATTAAACTCACATTTATTCCCAGCATGCCTAATTCCGTGACAAGCAGGCTTGAGCAAGCTCTGGTCATTCTGGCTTTCAAGGGCAGCGCGTTCAGACAGCTGCCTGCAGTTCTACCTCTTGAACTCCACCTGCGTGTACACCTTGGTGATGTCATGGTACCTGCCTTCAGGGGGCTGGTAGTTGGAGATGGGTGGTGTGTAAGCTGGCCCTTCTCTCTCAAAGGGAAACAAACGGCAGTCCCGCTTGATGGCCTCCGCATAGAGTTCCTGGGATGTGAGTTGTAGCTCCTGCAGAGCTTCCTGCTGGGCCTCAAGCATGGACTTGATGGCTTCCCTCTCCATCTTATGCTCTCGCTGCTTGTACAGGGACCACTTCTTCAGGAGCAAAGCTCTCCGTTCTGCCTCCTCAAAGGAGAGCTCTACCTCAGGCCGCTGTCTGGGAACACAAATCCAAAGTGAAGCTGGGAGCACTGCCCTCACTGACCACAGAGTCGGGGACTGCATATGGCCCAGGCATCCTCCCTGCCAGACATGGAACTCAGAAAAGAAAGGGACAAATTCAGGAATGGCATGTTGAATGTGGTGGCAGCTGCAGCTGACACTAGGAACCGGGGCCATTTGCTTTATGTGGAAATAGGAGACAGTGATCCTGAGATTATAGTAGCACTTCCTCTTTCCCAGGCAGAGACTGCCTTTGGTGAGAGGTGACTGGAGAAAAGTGAAATGGTATAATGAAAACGAACACCAAAATCCCAGGGAGTCAAGAGCCTCTTACCAGCCCTGGAGTGCCAAACACCTGCCATGTCCCGCTTGTATGGCAAGGTGCATTTTTATAAATAGTATACGCTTTTCTAAGACAGCAATCCTGCACACAACACATCCCAACTACGAGCATTTTGCCTCACAACGCAAGGGCTAAGGGTTTTCTACCATCAGGATGGGCAAGGCCCAAGTTGTCACAACTACAACTTCAAAAGAGCAGCGATAGGAACTTTTGAGCAATGCGGATACAAACTCACTCAAGCATCTGATCTGGCTTATCAAACACTTATTCTGAGTTTCTTTCCCACATTCAGCCATCCAAGAGCACCACCCAGGAAGGAATGTTTTCCAACTTCCATGAGACACAATCAAGGAGAAAAGGACTCAGCCTAGGGCCAAGTCAGCCCAAGCCCACTGACCCCCTTCCCATTACTGGCATAAACAGCAAGTAGAACTGGCTTTAGGTGATGGAACTCCTTCGCCCTGAGGACCTCAACCCTAGAGGACTCTTACCTCACTTTATCCATGAACTTCACAGGGATAATAAAATCTTCAATGGGAATTAGCTCCTGGCTAGCCTTTTCTAGTCTTCGGATCCTCTTTTTCAAGCGGTCCTTTACAGCTTGGTCTTTTTTAGGATCCACCTTCTTCTTCTTTCTCAGAGGTTCTGCTCTGATGGATAAAGCAAACATAAAAAATTTTCCTCTTCAGTTTCACAAACATACTGAGAGGCAGGGCGCCAGGTAAAGCACCCCAAACTTGTACTGAACTCTCCACTGGGGAATGAACCGCATGGCCCTAACCTCCTTAGCTGAGAGTGGCAGGGAGATGGATGGCTTCCAACCCAGGGTCCTTGTGAGAACTGTTTGGGCACTGTCAGCCCAGGAAGGGGTGGGAAAGCTTCATGGGGCATCCGGGTATAAATTAAAGGGAAGTGCTCATCTTTAGTGCTGGAGTGCAGGTATGCCTTGGGATTGCACTGAAAAGTGGAAATACCAAATTGGTGAATTAGAAGCCAATTACATCTTAGACCGATTTGTGATTGATAAAAAATGATTTCAGTAAGACTAAGAGAAAGCATAAGAAAAGTGACTGGCCTGTCCCTACTTTGGGGGATTTCTTAACAAATATTCCCATCCTAGAGCATTAACAATAGTCTTATTTACTCTCAGGAACACATTTCCTATGGTGATAATCTAGTATTAAGAATAATCAAATCCTCTAGCATCAAAGCCAAATTTTATGAATCAAGTCCCTAGAAAGTATCCAGAGTTCCAGATGGAAAAACTAGTCCTCACACCTTCCCCCCCCGCCCCCCCCCCCCCCACTTCTCCAGGGAGTCAGAAAGGGAAGGCCCATGAAGAACAGACGTGTATGCGTTGCCCTGTAAAAAAAACCAACACAATCCATTCAAAGTAGTTATTTAAACTACTTTTATATTCAATTTTTGTTTTCTGATTACAGGCACACCAGTATTCCATACAGAGACAGAAAAACATCCAGCTAAATTTAACTGAGAATTTTTGTAAGCTGTTAATGTTGCATACCAAAGCGTGGTCTTGACTTGTTCTGTTCCAGTGCACACCTACCTCCCGCTGACGCCCCCAAAGAGGTCAGGCCCACATTGGAGCTTACCTCGTGGGGATGAGTTCCCAGAAAGACAACAATGAAGCTCGCTGGTGGGTGTCTCTAACCTGTGTCTGCCAAATCCCCAGACGCCTGAAAGAGATGAGTACGTACAAATATCCGATTCCCCCCACTAAACAGAAGGGGAAAAAATTACAATGCCCTCAAGATCGAAGGCGCTTGTACTAGATGTGACAGCAAGGTCAATGCGAGATTTTTCAAAATCCCCCGTTCACAACAGAGAGCAGCAGTTGGGCGGGGTCCCTAGGGGCTCGCTAGGGGCTCCGAATTCTCATCCACAGGTAGAGGCGGGGCAGCCCATTTGTAACTGAGATGTCCGTGGACAAGGGCGGTCAGGGAGGAAGCACAGGCCCTGGCCAGCCCGCGCGGAACCCCGCGCGCGCGCGCGCCCCGGACACCCTGCGCACGGCCTGACGTCCGCACTCACCAGCACGGCGAACGAAGAGCACGCGCGGCAGCTCCCAAAACCGTGGTGGCCATGGCTTCCAAGGCAGCCGCCGGCTGCTTCCGGGCGCGCACCTCGGCGGTCCGGCCCACGGTGCCTCGCGCTACGGTCCGGCAGTCCCGTCGCTTCACGCGATCGCGTTCCGGCCTGGGGTGCAAGCCGCGGAGGACTGGATCACGCCCGGCCCCGCCCGGCCGCAGCGACGGCGCGCGGGCCCGCCCCCAGCGGAGGGCTGGATCGCGCCTGGCCCTGCCCCCTGCGCCGGTGTGGGTCCTTTCTTCCGCCTCCGCCGGGCGCTGCGACCGCACACGTCACCTCTCCCGCCCCCCCTCACTTAGTTGGCCTGCATCCTTGTGAGCATCAAGACTCCGCAGTGCGGCCGGAGTGGCCAAGAGGATGTCCCTTTACTCCGGGTCTTAAGTGTCCACATCTGTGAAAACGGTCCCCGATCCTCCAGTAAACGCGCCGCCTCGGCTTCCCCGGTGGCGCTCAATGGGGCTGGTTATCCCCCTGCATTCGTTCAGACTCGGGGCCGCGGCCGCCCGCCCGCTGGTGGCTGCACCTGGGCGCCGGCACGTGGCCTGGCGCTCACGAGATGCCCAATAAACGCGAGTTGATGAATGACGGAAGCTGGCTAATTAGTCGGACTGCTCACCAGCGACGTAGAGCTGGAGAGGCGGTCCACGCTATACTCCGACCCGGTGCGGCACCACCGGCCTAAGCTGCCACTCGAGGCCCCGCTTGCCAGCCACGGTCCCAGCAGACCCTCCCCTTCACCCATCGCTGGGACCGGGCTGGACCCAAAGCGGAGCCTCCCTCCGCTGCCCCGACCCGCACAGGAGCCAGGGCGGCCCGGTCCGCGCAGGGAGCGGTTTCCCGCCGGGGCGATTTGGCAGGTGCGCGCCGTGACTTCCGGCGTTGCCCGGGAGCTGCCGGAGGAGGAGCGGCGCAGGGGATGCGGCTGTGGCGGCAGCGGTGGCGGCCGAGCGCGGGGGGCGGCTGTGGCGGCGGCCTGGGGCGCGAGCCGGCGATGGCCTGGCGGCACTGAGGGCGCGGGGCGGGCGGCGGCTGGAGGGCGGGCGGCGCGGGAGAAAGCGGCGGCGGCGGCCCCATGGCCCGCGCGCGTTGAAGGACGCGGCTCTCGCCTCAGCCCGGCGGCGGCCGAACAATGAAGCTCCTGAAGCCGACCTGGGTCAACCACAATGGTGAGTGAACACAGGGGTCGCCGGAGGCCACGCCTGGCGTCAGATCGGGGTCCGGAGCCGGGTCTGAGTCGCGCGCGGGGCCGTGCCCGCCTCGCTCCCGGCGCCTGGTGCCCGGTGCCAGAGTCGCGGAGCGGGAGGTAACGGACTTTGTCCTCGGAGCGGGGAGACCGGCGAGCCCCGGCACGTGCTCCCGCCCGGCTGCGGCCAAGTCCGCCTCCGCCCCCAGCTCCTGCGCTGAGCCCTCCGCCACCCACCCGTGGTCCGTGGAGGCGCCGCGGCCTGGCTTCGGGGAGCGGCCCTTGGGCGCTGGCCAGTTCCTGCCACTCGTCTGCATCAGCCAGGATGTGCTCGGACGGCTCGATGTGCGTGGAACCTGGGCGCGACCCCTCGTGTAGCTTTTGATTGGCGGGGTGAAGACCTGCCATCGGCACGTCTCTGCCCTGCGGGAGGGGCTGTCCCTGCTCCGGCCGAGGCCTGGATCTGGTGACTGTGCCCCGAGTTGGGGGGCTGTGGCTCAGCGCTGAGGTCCCCCAGCCCAAGGAACCCCGTTTATTCTGAGCTGGGGCGTCATGATGACTGACTTGGGTTGGGGCCCATCCGACAAGGTGTGTTCTAGGAGAGGGGCTTCCTTAAAGCACACCCCGGGGGACCTGACTTCCACTCCTCTGGTTGGGAACAGGCTGTGTTCGGCCCGGACAAGCCTTTAGTCACGAGCGGTTTTGTCATAGTTCTGCCTTGTGGGCACAACTGCAGGACTTGGTCCTCCTCACCACCCCTGTCCCCAGGCCCCAGGGGGGTGAGGGAGGAGCGTCCCCCATCCCCTGGCTGACAGCACCGAAGCCCAAGGAGCGCTCGCTCCTCCAGCGTAAGGCCTGTAGCCCCGATGCCAGCCTGCCTCTGGCTACTGGTAGGCAAAGGGTCACCCCTTGTTCCTCATTTCTGCCTTGCATGCAGCTAGAATGAGTTACCGTTTTCTTTTAGAGCAAGTAGAGTAGATGCCTTTGCCTTTTTTATACATGTCGCTTTTCCGTTTTGAACCTGATCTGGCGATTGCTCTCTGCTACTGCAACTGAACTGAACATCTGTGTTCTTTCAGGCAGAAGTGCTCTCCCTTTCTCTCCTTGTGTGATATCTCTGTCATTTTCCGGGGCCACCTCTTCCTTTTACCATTCCTCCTGAGTTAGTCCACTCTATGTGCTCTGTCCCTGTGTCCTTTCCATATGCCCCCAGGGCAGAGACTGCCCCATTCCCCTCCAAATTCCCCGCCACCCTCGGCAATGTCTCCCATATAAAGGATGTATGATAAATATTGGCTGAAACAAGTGAGAAAGAGGAGGTTTCTGTAATTTATGAAGACACACTAGGTTTATGTGCATAAAACCAAAAGCTGTGCACTATAGTTTCATTTCTCCTAAGTTGATTCCCAAGAGCATTTTCTGATGTGTAGTATGCAGATCTCTCCCTGGAGACCTGGGGAAATATTCGGTAATTATAAGTTATGGAGCTTGTGAATTAGGAAATGAAATATTTCATTATGAACTAGTTTGTTGTGTAAATGAAGATCTGAAGGAATTTTTATTTTAAAATAAAAATGTTGCCCAAATCAGTTTGTGTGTATAGTCAGCCTACCCTTCTCCAGTCTCTCTCTCTGCCATGTAATTCCTAACTTTGTGATAAGCTCCTTTGTAGGACACAAGTTCTGTGCTGTGTAAGAATAAGTCAATGTGCTTAAGTGATTATCTAGGTACAAACAAGTGAGAGTCTGCAATGGGGACAACAGCCAAACTCCCACCCTGGCAGAGTGGGCGGGGCCTCTTGTTGGTGTGGCCGCTCCATAGTCAGGATGGAACTTGATGATATCTGCTCCGCCTTATTCACAGTACAATTATGATGTTTGGCTGGGAAGGAAGACACAAAAGTGCACCCCAGATTATAAAATACTTTAGAAACCTAAGACATAATTTTTTTAAAAATTGAGACTCTGGAGGGATGGAATTTAACTTATTTTAAACTTGTTCCTTGTTAAATTTCCTTTTAAAATCTCCTAAAATCAACCTTTGACTTATCAAGTGTTCAGAAGAATTGTCAGGGTAAATTAGCACTATCCTGAAGGAAATAGTCATTGTCTGGATTACTGACCAGTCCTACTGATCAGCCCTTTAAAAACTGGTGAATAGTGAGAGCTGCTGGGGGTGGGAGCTGCTTGGCCAGAAGCCAGAGTGGTGGGTTGTGCTTACTTTAGATTCACAAACAAAAAAGACCATGGTGCTTTGGAGAGGGCATCATTTTACTTTCTGGCTTCCTTACAGCTTGAACATACTTTTTCTGGTGTCTGAGAGTCCAAAGAGGGATGGAGCAAGAGAGCTCAGGAATTTCCCTGTGTTGGTAGGATCCATTCAGATAGGCGGAAAAGGCAGCTAGAATAGGGCTGGTTTAATGCAAAATGAGAATTATATGTTGGGGTACAGGCATACTTTCAGTCTTCATTTTCCCGGCTGATAAAGGTGGTAAGACCTTTCTCCTAAGATAAGGTTCCTCAGCCTCAGCACAGTTGACATTTTGGGCCATATAATTGTTCTGTTGTGGTAGGATTTTAGCATCCCTGGCCTCTACCCAGATGTCAGTGGCACACATCTCCCCATACGCACCCAGTTGTGGCAATAAAAAATGTCTCCAGACATTGCCAATGTCCCCTGGTGGCCAGAATCACCCCCAGTTGAGAATCTCTGCTCTGTGGTAAGTTAACACGTTAAGTGCCCAGTCAGTCACCAGTGACTGACACTATACTTTCCGACGGAAGACAAAACAGGCTGGGCACTTAACGTGTAAATAAATGTTGAAGTTGTCATATTCCAGTGAAATGAGCCTTGAAAATGGAATCAGACTGGGTTCAAGATGCCATCATTTATTAGCTGTAAATTCTTGGGATTGTGACTTCACTTCTGGACCTTGGTAAAGTTGAGTAAATATAAAAATTCACCCCTGTCATTTCATACCGGACCCAAAGAGTGCCTTAAGGTATATAATAGCTAATAATATTTATAACTTACTTAGACGTTAGGTGCCCAGCGTTGTTCATACTCAAATGTTTTACTCTCTGTAGTCTGTTTTTGTGTGTTTAGGAAGTTTCATTGAGATGGGTTCTTCCCATCCCTTGGCCTTTGTTCCTAAGAGTTTTTCTGGAATTCTCACTCCTGGGCAGACAGTGTTCATGCTCAGCTCTTCAGAAGGACCAGGACTGGAAGACCGCTCATCCTCCTTTGGCCTCTGGCTCACACTTTGATGGCAGTGTTGTAAAAGGTGTTTGGCGAATGTTCAATAATGGGATAATTTGTCAGTTAGTCACATTGCTTTGTGGTGGTTTTCTCTCCTGTCCTGTGATTGCATTATTTTCCCCCTACCCTGTCTCATCCCAGAAAGGATTTTGAGACATCCTATTGAGACATCTTCTGCATCTGGGTGAAAATAAGTCAGCTTGAAGGGGAAATGCGGGGAGGATGGTGCACAGCTACTGGAGGGGCCCTGCAGACCTGTCTCTCAGAACAGGCTAGGGGGATCCTAATAGAGATATTTATGAGTGCAGTGGTTGTTAAGGTACACTTTAGAGTGCTCTAGATCGGGGGTTCTCAAACAGGCCGATGTCTGGAGACATTTTTGGTTCTCACAACTGAGGGGGGTGGAGAGCTACTGGTATCTAGTGGGTAGAGCACAGGACTGCTGCTGAAAGCCCTCCAGCGTATAGCACATGCATCCACAAAGAATCTTCTGGCCCAAAATGCCAGTCGTGCTGGGGTTGAGAAAACCTGCTCTAGATAAGAATATCTTCATTGTTTTTTGCCTTTTGTTGTATTTGTCTCATCATTCCAATTAAATTGTTTCTTGAGGACAAGAGTTTTGCCTTTTATTTTGAAGTCAGTCTTGTTCTTGAGTCTCTGTGCTCTACTGCTCACCAAATGTGTCAGGGAAAGTCCTTTTGATCTCTTTTCCTGATCTGTTAAATGAAGCCAGTAACACCTGCCTCCCTCTACCTGTGAAGGCTCAGGAAATGTGAGCTCTCTTTACATTGTCTCTCACTGGCTTATACCTGATGCCAACAGGTCGATTTAAGAATACAACCAGAATACACTGCAAGAGGATTCAGACGAAAACTGGGTGGGATTTTGCCTTGGATAATACACGTGGATTTTTCACTGATTTATACACCAAACATTGAACCCTTCTGGAGAGAAGTTCATGGTACATAAGGTTATCCCTATGTGTGGAAAGCTGTGCAGTAGGTGGGAGAGGGACCTATACCACATTCTAGAATGCAGGGCAGAGGGAAACCAGAGCTAAATGAGTGAGCTGCCACGGCCTCAGGTGGGGGGGCCTGGCTTGTGGTGTGCCCTGGGGCTGAACCGTGACCACAGGAGGACTGTGATGGTGGAAGAGGCCCCACTGCTGTGAGAGCATCAGGAGGAAAGGCCCAGGGGGCGCTGAGAGCACTGAAGAGGAGACAGCATGTTAGGGCATGACTGAGCAGGTGAAGGGGAGAATGGGGCTGGTAGGCGGAGCCGTAAGCACCTTGATGGAAGCTTAGACTTCCTTCCAGGGGCTGGGGGAGGGGCACATTGAGGTTTCTGAGGAGGCTGTCTCCAGAAGGCCCCAGAGGAGTTCAGAGGCTGTTCCCTGGGTCTTGGTGAGATGATGAGGGAGGTCAGGAGTGGTGGAGGTAAGGAATGGCTAGGCACTGAAAACAGGGCAAAGGCAGGTGACTGTAGATTTGGGTCACTCTCTGAGTTTATTTCTTTAGTATGCTAGAGAAAGCAAGAATGAGGACTAAAAAATGGGGTTTTATCTAAGAAGTGGTTGAAAAGATGTTTTCACTTCATGAACAGAATTGTAATTTACAGCTTGGAGGGACCTCTGGGCAGCACCTGGCTTTGGCCACTGAGGGAACCCACTGCCTTTGCATTGATCGTGGGTCCTGTCAGTGACCATGGAGAGAGGGCTGTCTCCTTTGACCTCCCCTTTTCCTCAGAGGTTGCTAGGTTCTCCGTTTATCAGGGTGTTTGCCTGTAGGCTGCCGAGGTGTCTGGCACATGAAACAGGTCTGGAATGAGCCCTGGGACCAAAAATCGATGCAACCACATTTTATTATCCTACCAAGATGAGCAACAACTCCTAGAGAGGTGAGTGGGTCCATCGGTAGTGTCCACATTATTAAATAGCAAAAGGGGAGTGATACACATAGTGGGTTGTCTGCCCCTATTTCTGTCCAGCAGAATCCCAGTGTTTTTCAGGTGTCTGCCCTCTTCTGCAGGCCAAGCTGCAGGGACAAGTCATGATAGCCCTAAGCTGGTATATGGGCGAGTGCCAGAGATTTGTTGAGGAACAGCCATTTGATGCCATGCTAGCCAATAAGACTGGGCGGGGATGTGTGCTGGGGGCTCCTCTGGAATCAGGTAAGAAGAGCTATGTGAGAGGCCTTTCTTCTGCTGGACTTCACTAGGTTTGCATGTGGCAGTCAGCCTGCAACCATGAGGATGACAGGACGGGTAGGTGGAAGGACATGGCTTCTTAAGATGCTAAATTAACACACCCAAAGCTGACCCATCTCAGGATTTCTTATATCGATTACCCTTGAAATTCTCTATGACTTGCAGCAGAATTCCCAGGTGGAAACAGGCTGTATAAAATGAGGTGACCTACTAAATGTAAAGAGGGTGAGTTAGGGGTCACACCCAGATTCCAGTCAGAGCCCAGGCTTACTCTTTCTAATTACCAAGCGTTGGTCTCTGTGCTGGGCACCTCTGTCCCAGGGAGGTAGAGTACCCATTTCCCCCTT